TGTTTCCTCGTGAGGTGGAAGTGATATTTTCCCGCTGGAAGGTGAGATCCGGCGCGGACCTGTCGGCATGTGGGCTCTATGAGACATGAAATAGCTCATGGCCTTTCCTTTGCAAACATCCGCTCAACCGGCTGCTCACGGTCCGGTGATCACAGAAGCGAAGTAGTGCAAGTACTTGCATTACCTGCTTTGTAAGATGATTTCAGTAACATACGAGTACATGGGCAAACTCGAATCTAAAATGTTCCAACTTGATGCTTTAATATATGAAAATGTAACAAATCTGTAAAAGATATTTAGAAATAGATAAAATATGTAATTTTACCAAAACATGTAAAATACCTATATGTAAAATGAAAATGGTTCTACTTCATTACGAATCTCTTGAAAAACAAAAAAACAACAAAAAAACATTTGATCAGGCAGATATCTTATGCCTGCAAAAACAATTTTAGCCTACATGAAAATCCTTTTCCTAGTAATAAATAAATCCCTAGCAGTTCCTGGTTTAAGCTAGTCACTAATAATTACAATAACGGAATTTATTTGTAAAGGAACTTCTGTTTGAAACGATTGCTGAGTACCGTAATTACATTCATTTGCTAATTTTTGGGTTTAAAAACATTCAAACTTTGAACTTGAAAAATCGCTGAGTTAGCTTCCTTAACATTTTGAAAAAAAGTCTTCCATTTTTCTTAATGTTCTGTTAAATTCAGTTCTTTTAAAATAATATTAAAATTTCAAATTTGTCTTAAACATTAATTTTATTACCTTTATTTTTTAAAATGAATTGGGAATTGACTTCAGGCGCCAGTTTATATTCGGCTCTAGACTCCCTATCGACTCGTCAATTATAATTGATTTGTCATTATCTTCCCCTTTGAGAACTCCAACTCTACAAAAAATTGTTGTATCTGTTGGTCCTACATACGCGAGATTGCAATTGTTGCATTTTCATGAATAATTACCACTCATATACATAAGGATAGGGAGTTTATTGACAGGAAGAATATTTTTAAGGAATATTAGGAGTTTTATACGCTACATTGAAACTATGTTTACTGAAGACATTTCGTATCTTTTTGAATATGGGTCCCATTTGCGGGTTACTTACGATATGTTTTTTAAAAGTGGACATTTTGAGAGAAGACCTTACTTTTGGTTAAATTATGATTAATAAATAAAGAATACTTTTTAATATTAAATATATTTTTAAATACTCTTAGTGATTGATACCCCCTGGATTCTTAATCTGTGTGGATTACCACAAGATCTCTGCTGCCACCCTGCAATTTGTGAAGACTTATGCATTTTCCTAATTGGCAGCGTTTTCAATGAAAATAGACTCTATACCAAACTTATAAGTACACTTTCTTCTATTGAGACCAAAAACGTTCAATAAAAAATCAACCATATTTCCATAAAATGTTGAAAGTGTCATAGGGCTTTCAGGGAAAAGAACCCCAAAAATTAAAATATTTTAATGATATTAAAAAGGCTCAACTGTATCTTATTGTACTTCAGACGTATTATAAGTTTCAGCTCAGAAGCTAATTATCTGACAGCGTGAAGCATTCGTGTACAGGTATACATTCGGGTACAAAATTGCGTATATCTCCTCTTCCTCTGCATCAATCTTCACCATCTTTCGATTCTTATTCTGATGTCTGTGCATAGTTATAGCTGAAAAGAATATTAAACAATTTACAATCGAATATTCGAGATCGTACGGTTGCAGTGATTCCAATACTTTAATATAGAGAGAAAACGAAAAAATTGGAGAGCACATTAAGTATGCCCTCGATCCTGGATCGTATTTCTAAACAATTGATTTTCATCTTCAAATACAGAGGCGCTGATGTCTTCTTCATAATCTTGACGTGGCTTTTACTTTCTCGCTACCACTTACGCAGTAGAGAGAAAGTTATGTAATGCTTTGCGAAGAAACGGCGAATTTTTGTCAAACAAAACTGAACAGAGAAAGAAGAAGGTAGAAGACGACCTAGAACGGGGAAGGGAGTGCATGAGTGAACTGAAAGGGCCTTCTCTATACAAAGTAAATTTTGCGCCGCACCGGGCCGTGAGGTGCTCGTGGGGGAGGGATGGCGCTGGTTAAGGGAGGAGGTGCAGGTTCATAAAATTAAGAGAATTGCATTGCACATACTATTTATAAAGACTTAATGTCTACGCTACGTGAAATGAAGAGATGAAATGTGAATGAAACGAAATTAAATACAAAGAATATACAAAAATGAGGTACAAATGACTCACAGTGCAGTTTACACAAACTTCAATTATTCAATTGGTCACTGTGAAAGTTCGATGGTCGAACTATGCACCACGCTTAAATGGGTATACAGCATTGATGAATACATTGATCGCTACGGCATATGTTGACCTCGGTAGTGCTCCTCTTCCAGGCGAAGCGGGAATGCAGGCGTCCCACACGGCTCACCGATTACGGGGATCGTCTGTCGCTCCGCAGCTTGTCCACGTAAGTGGCCCGAGTTTGGACCCTGGCAGCAGGAGTGTGCTTCAGGCACATACGGTCTCCCTCTACCGGTGACTGACTATGTGAATAGGGCGTGCCCGTACCGCAATGTAGTTCCTGCCGACGACAGATTCACTGCGACTTCATACAGTGACAACCCGTCAGTGACTGGTAGTCGAAGGCAATTCAGCGCACTTAACTCAATCAACGACCTGCCGAGACAATGCAGCGCTCTTAACTCAATCAACGTCATGCTGAGGGCAGCGTAGTCACGTGCGCAAAGCGAATTGAGTTATGATACGAACATGAGTGCGGAGAATGCTCAACAAGAAGACACCGGGCCGGCGGTGTGGCCTTAGCGCCTCTTGCGGTACTTCTGCTCGCAAGTCTGGCCCAGGGACGTGTGTGTGCCGACTGGGGGTTGGACGCTGCGCTGCGGGCTCTTCGGGGAACGCGTGGGTGGCCGCCGGGGTCGGGGGAGGCCGGCGGTGAGGGTGACCAGCTGTGAGGGCGCCGGGCGCACGGGCGCCTGAAGCGGCCCGCCTCCGGAGGGACCGACGAATCGCCATTCCGCGAGGGCTTCGTGGAGTGGACGGAACAAAAATCTTACTGGCGGGTTCTGATGGCGAGAAACTGCTTAAATCAAGTTGCTAAATTTAGAAAAATAATACTCTAACACGTGATGTAGCCAGTATCCATGTTTTCTGGGTCCTTGATACCAAAAAAATTGAATGACGGCAAAAATGTCTGTCGTCCCGTCCGTCCATCTATTCGTCTGCTCGCCCGTCCGTCCACCAGCTCATCCGTCCGTCCGTCTGCTCGTCCGTCCGTCCGTCCGTCCGTCTGGCCGTTCGTTCGTTCGTCCGTCCGTCACTATAACTACCGGCTACTAAATATTTCTGCCGATTTTCCCCAAACTTGATATTCCCCAAACGATCTGGCTGCGACCTGGTCACTTGAATTTGAAACAATATTTTAATTTTGGGGTACTTTACATGAAGCTTCCTGGGATATTTCCAAATTTTCAAGAAAATTATTCGTTTTTGATTCAATTTTGTTGTTGAATAGTGTGAAGGACGTTTCAGAGAATAGTGCAGGTCTCATTTTCCTTGATTTTGAACTCTGAATTTTTGAAAAGTGGAAAAACTCAAAAATGTCTGTTTAATGAAATTTTGTTCTTAAAGATAGATTTTGGAATAAGGTCATGCACGATTTTTTGAAAATGCGAGAACCTTTCGCGTAATTTTGCGTGGAAGTACGGGCGAGAGAGTTCGTGCTGTTTTAGCACCACTAGTTTCATTCCAATTTTTCTTTCCAATAAAAAAATCTATTTTAGATTGTCCAGCACTCGTTAAGCAGTACGAGGATATACTTTCGACCCTGAGTGAACATCCGATTTTTGGTCACGTTGACATCTTTTTCTCGGCAGAATCGAATAACCAAGATCTTTGGCAGGCTGCATTATTTTTCGATGAAAAATTTTCGAAGATATAAATATGGCCAGCAGTCGGATCCGCGGCACAGCCTAGCATGAGGTCTTGGAACACCGACCTAATGCTTAACAAAAGGTGTTGTCAGTAGGTTAAATAGATTGAATGAATAGAAGAATATATAAAAGCTTGATATTGTTAAAGTACTCTAATACTCTAGCCTTTCCAGTCTGTGACTTTTCCTCATTATCGAGCCTTTCTGATAACAAATCAACGATGCCCAGCGCCGTTGAAGAGGTCATATTGCGTGCGGAGGCGTGGCAGTTGTGCGTTTGGAAGTGCTATTTGAAAACAATTTTCCTCTATATAGTTTCTTTCTATTTTTCTTTTTTTCTTACTTGGAAAACCTGTTATGAAATGTTTCATAGAAATGTAACATTAAATCTGAAATACGTTAGGTAGTATTGCTTACAGGTATATTCTGTATGTCATCCTGATCTACCCGATGTATCATGTAAGCTCGCCCTGTTTTTCAAATGTTTCGATTACAGTGTTATGATTTATTTAATTATTATTGTCCAGTTTTTGATAACCGGGGCGGCCGCTTCGAAACTTTATTGAGGGGGCGGAGGCCTCGGCTCCATAGTCTAGGCACCCAGAGATAAGTTCATGGTTATATTTTAAACATTGAAAATAATAGTTGTTAGGTATTAGTATCAATATTAGTTATACAGGTTATAGATAGTTAAAGAAAAAACATTTATACACCTTTCATATACAGAAAAGAGAGTTTTTTTAAAGATATTATTATATAATAATTTTATATAGTGATATAGAAAGAACCACAAGTAAATTTTCTCTAGATCACAACACTCCACATCAAACACGTGTCAGAATTGAGATGCTTGCAGTATTGTTTAAGGATCTCCACTTTTCTGCCTCCTCCTAAAAGGAATATTACATCAGTCCTGGCTTTCACCTAAAGTCCCGAGGTCGCATTTCCTTCACGAGTGGAATATGGGAACGAAGTATGTCTTCAACTTTCGAAGCCACTCGTCCTCCGCTGCAATGAAAAGGAAATGCGAAGCAACGCGGCCTGTCGGCGACACTTCTCCCTTGCGGCGGCGCGTCATGTGGCCAGTGCTTATCGTCCCCGCATCCTTCCTCCTCGCCTTGCGCCGCCGTGCCGCGCCAGGCACGCACTTCAATCGCTGCTTGCCAGCCACCGCCGCCACCGCTACGCCGCCGCCTCTCGGGTGAGTGCAGAGCAGGGGCCCATGAGGGGGCGTGCAAAATTCCAGAAGGAACTAATTTTGGGAAACAAAGGCAATTTTCTCTTATGCAGCTGTGTTAATTAATACTAAGATGCGCTCGGGAAGGATTTTTTATACTTTCGCGCACACTGCTTACGCAGTATAGACAAATTGGAAAACGCCTGTGTATACGTCTGTCTATCTACAACAATTATTAAAAACGCTGGCAGTGAAATCGTAAACAGGATTTTCACCAAATTGATATTACCCGATCAATACTGATGCCACGGCCAGTTGCATTTGAAATGGAATTTTTTTATTTTATTTTTTTTTTGGGGGGGGGGGGTACTTTACATGAAGCCTCGTCTTCGCATTGCCCACATCAAGGAAAGTTACAATTTGCCTGAGTAACTGCATCGCTTACAATAAATACGGATATTCTGAACACGCGACTGTACTTCAGCTATACTACATAAAATCCTATCAATTTATGAGGTTTTTAAACCTCTACTATTTTTTGTCACTTCAACAGCACACATGGTTATTAATGTCTATAATTGTAATGTCTATAATATATTAAAATGTGATATTTATATTTACTAAACCTTTTCACGTTTGAACTCTATGAATAGAATGCTTTTTTGCTTTTCCCAGAATATTTTCTAAATTTTCTAAAATCATCAGATAATTTGAAACATAACATTAATAGAATTTTAAACATTTTTTGTTCTAAATTGAGTTTATGCTTTCTTTAAGTCTCTTTTACTATACACACTCTTACCACGTATCTCTGTCCCTTTGCAACGTTTTATCTTGCATAAATTTGAGAGAAAGTTATTGGTTCATCGTCTTCTGAATCTTCATTCATCTTACTTACTACAGTAAAATTTAAGTGTGTAGAAAAACTTCAATGAATCATTTCATCATTTTCTTCGTCAACTTATTTTACTTTCTCCTCCTAACTTCGTACGAAGAGAAAGTCTTGTAATCGTACGCCGCAAAACATCAATTTTTTGACAGAAAAACTCTTATTTTCGAGCCCTAGTAACGAACAAGTGTTACTATGTATAGTAAATTACTTTCTATTACATGATGTGTAATCAGAATTCATTTTTGTGGGTCGTTGATACCGAAAAATCTATTGACGCCAAAATGTCTGTCCGTGGTTAACGCTAGCGCCTAAATCATTCAATGTTGGTTGTTTTGTTTTTTTTTCTTTCAAAATTTGTATTGTCCGACCGATCTGAAAGAACACCAGGATTTGCGAGTTTGAAACGGATATTTCCATTTTTTAAGTACTTCACATGAAGCAACATTTTCAAAATGTTCTCAAAAATGGAACCAAATTTTTTGATTAAACTTTCTCCTCATATAGAGTAAAAGACGCTTGAGAAAGAGAATGGTGCAGGTTTCATTTTTGCGTTTAAACCACTTATTGCAAAATTTGAATTTTTTGGTGTCTTTTTACAATTACAATGTTGAAGATAGAGATTTTTTTAATGAATTCTATGCTGTAAGTTGTCTAAAAAATAGGCTTTTTTGTAAATATATCATTTTTTTCTCAAAAGAGGCCACAATTTTTTTTTTCAATAAATTTTATCTTTGTACGTATCAAAGGACCTTACAAAAATATGGTGCTAGTCCCATTTTCGGTAAACTCTGTGTATTGTCGCAAATTGCAAAAAGTTAACAAATCAAAACTACAAAATTAAAGATTGATATTTTTGCGTCAAACAATTGCGTGTTGAAAATATTGGTTGGAGACAGATTTTTAAGCGTTGTCGGCCCGAAATCGTACGTCAGATTGGCTGGATTGGTCTAGAGGTAAAGGACGAGTTAACTCTGATCTCGAGTTTCAGCGTGGAAAAATAATTTGCTGGTTGAAAACACTTTTACGGGTTATGTAGTAGTATTCTATTGCGTAGCAGGTGCAAATTACTCCGAGAAAGTGTATATTGTAGTACAACGAGTTTTAGTTTGTTCTGGATGAATACTTTCATTAAATCGCTTCCTTTTTGTACTTATACCTGCTGAAGTTGAGACAAATGCAATCTATATTGGCTGAGTTTGAAATCTTTCGTCATTTGATAGTGTGCTTCTTGGTTGAGGAGGTTGAAATAATTATATGCGTCGTCATTGCCAGCAATATTATATTAGGCAATAGTGTTGGCAATGAGAACGCATATAATTATTTCATTAGAAATGCCAACGATAACGCACCACAACACCTATTGAGGAGGTTGAGTTTACGCACTTTTGACAAACAAAATTTCTTAAAAGTTAATAGGGTAGATCCTTGCGTCAGTTATTGGCATTTGATTGCCACGATGTTCACTGTATTTCATGCGCTATTTCATTCACCATTTACAGAAATTCGAAGCTCATTCTGCTGCTGGTATATGCGTAAGTTCTTGATGATGTTCAACCTTTGTTTACTACAACAAAGAAGTGAGGTGACTGAAAAGGTTAGGAAAGAGTATAGTAAACGTAATATAAATAAGGAACAGAAAAATAATGTTCTACAATTATCTAAGACTTATTAGCATTAAAGTTATATACCCAAGAAAAATACCTGAAATCAATTCTAAATGATCGATTGAACAGTTGTTCAAATATGTAAGACCTAAGAAAGAGAACAAAGAAAGCATTCCTGAGATATGCGGAGCAGATCGTTCGTTCATTATAGATGACAGTGAATCTGTATGTTCAGAGGGAATACCAGGAAAAATACTAACTCTGGGAGGCAAAGTCATGATTACGTACCTTGCGCGGTTAATCGACGTTACAATAAGTAATAATACGACTCCTCAAAATTGGAAAGAGTGAATTGTAGAGACGATTCTCAATTGAGGGGACAGATAGATTGTTAACAATTATAGGCCTAAAAGTTTGAGTTCAATCGTACTCAAGGAGATGGAGCACTTAATTGAGGGTATATTAGACGAGTTTGGAAAAAACCTGATTGGCTATTTCAAAATCAACATGGTTTTCGTCCCGGGTATTCATGCGACAGCCAGACTATTGCTTTATGTCAGGTCATAGCAGATTCACTTGACAAAGGGAGTAGGGTTGAAGCAATAACATTAGATTTTTCTAAGGATCTTATTCCATATTTTAATTTCCAAATCATCATAAACTGGATGAGATCATCGAATAATCTTGTTGATGAAATAATTTCTTACGAGGCGCACTCAAACTGTTAGAATAGGTAATAAATATTCATCGAAAGCCGATGTAACCTCTGGGTCCCCCAAGGGAATATGCTACAGCCATTGCTATACTTAGCATTTATTAATGACATTGCAACTGAAATAAAATCGAAAGTTAGACTTTTAGCTGATGATTGCATAATATATAGGAGTATTGGCTCGTCTGCAAATGCAAATATTTTACAGAACGATCTAAACTAATCTAAAAAATTGAGCTGGGCATGCAGAAATAAGATGGAATTAAATCCGGAAAAGAGTAAATACATTTGTTTTTCCAAGTATCACTCGAACCTGTACTCCAAATACGACTTAGTAACTAACGTTATACCACGTACATAAAAGGCAAATCGAGGCGTTAGATAAAATTCAAGAACGGGCCGAAAAATGTGTAAATCATGGGCACGTTGTTAATGGGCGAGACGAATCAGAGTCCTTATTATAAATTCCTTATTGTCCAGATTCTAAAAACAGAAGAGATCATCCTTGAAAAATACGATGTAGAAATCAAAGAACTAATATTGGCAAGTTCTCCTTTGTCAATCGTACTATAGTAGATTGGTACAAACTACACTGGTGTTTGTGAACACAGCAATACCTAGAAGGAGACATACTATTACAATGAAACGAATTCCACAGATTAGAAATATCACTATATACAAATGATTAGAATGACAAAACTGCATTTTGACCTTGAAGGTGTGACGATGTAAAGCCTCCTCGCGCTGCATCACAGCGTCTAGACATCGTGGCATGGATTCAAAGAGAGGTTGGATATGTTGCTAGGAAGCACAGTTTCTATACGTGGCCACAGCGGCGATAGTGACGTCAGGAGGATCAGAACGAACGAGTAGCCGACGGACCTGATCGATGGGCGACATATCAGGTGAACGTCCAGCCGATGGAAGCAGTGGTACCCTCGTCTTCCCAAAAAGCTTGCATATTCCTCGCCACATGCTGTTGGGCTTTCTCCTGCTGAAATATGGCAGATGGAGCTGTTTTCAGGAGTGGCAGCACCTCGGGATCTACAACCTTCCTGATGTAGCGGTTGCTGTTCAGATTGCCCTCCATTGGTATGAGGCGAGATCGCACATTGTAGCCAAAGACGCTCCAAACCATTACACTTATGCTATGGCGCGGAACAATGCAAGCTGGCAGATTGCGATCACAATGGAACCACCATGGACCGCAATATCGTCGAACATGCACATGCCCATCTTTGTCCCACAAATTGAAGGGGGATTCGTCTGAAAACTCTACATTTTGCCACTCAGCACACCAGAGAACACGTTCACCCATTGCTGTCTGAGGCATTGGTGGTTTCTGGCCACCGGAATCCGATGCAGTGGTATACCTGCCACCAGTGCAGCCCTTAGCCAATGGCGTCGAACCGCCGACGAAAACATGCCCACACCCATTACAGTGCTCCAAAACCGAGCCAACCCTATGGACAAGGTCGATCGGTCGGTTATGAACATGCAGACAAGATGCAGTCATCTCGTGATATTGCCACATTATGTGGTCCAGAACTTGCTCGTCGCTGTGTATGACCCTTCTCTACTCACTGGTTCCAATGTTACGGTACAACAAACCAGCTTTGGTATCGACGAGGCATACCGGCACTTGTCTGCACGTCTCCACGTCGTTCGACAGATCAAATCGACTGAGTGCGGCTTAACACTGACGTGTCACACAAAGGAGGGCGCTGCTAGACCAACGTGCACGAGATTTTCACGCAAATTAAATCACGTGATATGGACTCGCTGTTCTACACATCTGAGGATTTTTAAGTGACTTCGACCATACCTTCTGAGTGTTTCAATTTTCACAAACAACAGTGTACCTACAAAAGCACTAAAGTCTCTTCCTTCTAATGAAGGCAAATTTAAACATTCTTAATTCTATGTAGATCATCGCCAATGATACTGAGACATTTATCTTTATTATTGCTGTTACTTATATTGTCATAATTATTATCATCGTTGAGAGTTAATAACTTTGGTGTAATATTTAAGTTCTTCTTCACATTACTTCTCATTACAAATACATTTTAAACAGTGCTTCATTAGATCCATTTATCAAATTACCATATCTTCATAATTATCCTTAATAGCATGACAAATTTTGAAGATAAATCTTATATGAAGTACATCTATACACGCAAAAGTGTTTCACTTTTGATATCCTCGCCCAATATATTAATTTCATTTCTTGGATATAAATAAGTTAATAAATATTGCTGCTACAGTTTCCGTCCGTTCACCTGTTTATCTTATTTTCCACGACCCTAAGAAATTCCCGATTACCTTGTAAGAAATTATTTTCGCCATAAAGTATGTATTGCTTAAAAAATAACATCCGAAATTGGGTTGCCTTTTATTCAAATGAACATTTCTCGTTTCATACATATTCTTCTAAAGTTTGTTTTATTTCTTTCAGTCGGAAAACATGTACTATATCAAGATAAATACATTAATTGTTAAGACGTTTTGAGCAAATTTGTTTGCTATGAAAATAGTATTATTGTTACAATCGTTCTAAAAGACGATGAGCATTGCACTTTATACAATACATAGTTCATGTTATGGAATAAAAATTTCTAAGCTTTGGTTTCCTGCTGATATTTAATTAATTGTTTCCCAAATGTTCTTCCTGCAATTTATAATAATAATAAAAGGCTAGAGCCAGAATATATTACGACCTATTATGACAAGAATATTAGAATTTTAGCTGTAGTAGATAAAACAACAAGATCATGTCAGAAATTCTAAATAAATGTCTTTATTTCTGCAGAGACTCAGAACATTGAGTCTGCTCTTTTACCTGTACACTTTCGAAAAATTAATACAAAATAAATAGCAGGTCATTCAAGAAATACGTTCGCTATTCGGGTAAACGTTTTCTCAGAAGGAGGTGGGGGAGAAGGGGGTGAGGAGAGGAGGGATTATGTCAAACAACCTTCTCACAACAATTTTACTTTCTCGCATACTACGTACGTAGTATAAAGAATGACACGTAATTCTACAGCGAAAACCGGCAATTTTTCGGAACTTGTATTCATATTGAAAAAGTGGACAATTCGTGTTCCTATAGGTAGTAAACCACATCCTTCCATAGGCACCTTATCTCTATCACAGTATAGTTAATATAATTTCTAAAACACAACATCAAGGCGATGTCATTTTACGGCCCATCAAAGACCCTTAACACAGGTGCAGATTCTAAGCGATTTGTTGTCTTGTGCAGACCGAGATGTCGCTGCCATCGGTGATGAACGAGACGTGCGACTCGCTGGCGCTGTGCTCCTTCTGCCACTCCTTCGGCAGCCAGAACGACTGCGCCGAGGCCCCGCACTGCGAATGGCTGCACTACGTGCACCGCAGCTCCATGATGGACGGTAATCCATGGCCCTCAACGAATGTGTCTTTTCTACGTTAAGGGCACTGGGCTGGGTAAACTTTTCTCACCAACTTTTTTGTGTAGTTTATCTTCAAGGAGGTGTAACAATTTCCCCAAATATATATGGACTGTCTGGATCTTTGAGTACATAATGCACTTACAATAGATTCTTTACAAATGTGAGATGTTCGTACTAGATCACATCATCGAACGATCAGCCCCTTGAAATCTTTCTTCAAGGTATATCATAACGCTATCTTAAAATCTCGTTATAGACCTGTCATGACGCGTGAATTTAATTATACAAAGATTTCGAAATTCTAATGCAGGCACTGCAGGCACGTTCTCAGCATGTTTTCCCCAAGTTAATCACACGTTCCCCAAAAGTTCTTCAAATGTTCCCCCAATGTTTCTCACGTGGCCCCTACAAGTTTTCACACGTTTCCTGCAGTGTAAATAATGTAAATAATTTTAGGCGTTAAACCATGACATGAAAAAAAAATAGAATAAGTTAGAAAGTTTTACAAAGTGGATTTAGAGTACTTCGTAAGTATTTACTTTATAACGTTCCGTAAACGTTCTATGTAGAAAGCGTTTAAGAATAAACACGATGTAGTTCTTCACATGGTCCGTCACACTGATCAGGATGACCACGTCCCAGTCGAGTAGAAGCGAGCGTAAACACGCAGCCGTACCCCTGTGCTGGGGTGGGGGTGGGGGGCTGAGGAAAGCTCTTGCAACCGCAGTTAAAATGAGGCGGACGAAACAGTGTAAATTTACAACTTTATGTCGTTATTCATATATGAGTTTCTAAGTGTTTATGAGTTTGCGTGTTTGCAAATGAGTTTGTTGTGTCTGAATATAAAGCAAGCGAAGCAGAAGCGCCTCGAACATTCAAATTGTGAAGTCAAGTTGCACAGTGTAATAATGTAAATAGTGTTCGGCGTTAGACCAGGACATGTAAATAATTAGAATAAGTTAGGAAGTAAGACAAAGTAGACTTTGTTTAGTTTATAAGTGTCTAGTTTGTAAGTTAGGCCGTAAGTGTTCAGTGTAAATAGCATTTAAGAATGAATTTGATGTAGTTATTCACATGTTCCCTCCTATTTCCTCTCATGTTCCCTCCCATTCTCTCAGCAGATCTCCCCACAAGTTTCCAGCATGTACCGTCACACGTTTAACGCATGTACCTTAAAATGTTTCCCCGCATGTTCCCCTAAAATATTAACTGCACGTTTCACTGCATATTTTATCCCGTGTTCACTCCACCTTCTCCCGATGTTCTTCCTTTTCTGAATATGTGTATGCTCTCCTCATGTTCACAGCATGTTTCTGCATATGTTGATCGGGAAATTATCTGCTAATTACAAAATTTAATTCAAGTAGTTTTGACTAAGAAATACTTCTATAAACGTTAAAACCTGCTAAAAGCGCAATGGCTCCCAGCCAGATGAAAGAAAAGTTTTGAATAACTATAGTTTCCCAAAGAACATAATCCCCCTAAAGAAATTAAAGAAGGACTTAAAAGAATTTTCGCAAGAAATTTCAATCTTCGATAAACATATCTTCGAAAATAATTATTTTAAAAGTGAAATTCGCTTTACAATGGATTCCAACTTCCGCCCTTCCTGGTAACTCTTGCTACGGGGCGAGCGAATTTTCCAAAAACCAGAATATCTCGTTTTGCAAGAATAAAGAACAAATTAGTGTTAGGGACACGACAACATGGTATTGTGGCCCCGTTTCCCGTTTACGCACGTTGGTAGTGTTGCAACCTCATGTGTTGCACATTGCACACGATTTCCCAAATTAACCACAATCTAAGAACATCCATGTTTTTCTTAAATCTGTTTGATGCACTCTTCAGAGGTACGGAGTTTTGTGTCGATGGTTTCTTATAAAAATTTGAGTTGAAATCAGCCGTCTTTCCTTCGTGTATTTCACAGATAGAGGGCTCGTATCCGATTGTGAGAGGAGAGTTTGTATCAATGTGAATTTTATGATCGGTTCAATCTTAGACCAGTTTTTTTAAACCTTTATTGCACCTTCATTATTCAGGATAGAAATTCCTTTCTGAATGCAATCTACTTGAAAATACTAGATCTTTATAGAATTTCACTTACACTTTTTCGAAATAACAGAAGTTATTGTGATTTTGGGGAGAATTTTTGCAAGTGTGAAGAGTGGCCAGGAATGTATTAAAGTATTGTCTGTTAGGAGAAGGAAAATGATGTGTAATTTGTTATAACGAACAGTTTTGAGACATATTCCAATATTATGTTTAATAATAATAATAATAACAATAATAAGTACATTTGTTTCCACTCATTTGAGTTTCTGGTTGCCTGTGCAATTAACGCTCATTGAAATGGGAAACGAATCCAGCGAATGTCATATTGTTGATTTGGCAACCACACGTAAGCATTTGTTGTCACCACTACCACTACCATTGCCGCCACCACCACCGTCAAGTTTTTATTAACTACATTATTTATTTATAGATAAAATACATATCTTACAGCGTTGCTATCCATCTTTTCATTATGTTAATATAGTGAATGCACAGGCATACTAAACTCAATAACAATATATTATTTCGTTTAAACGTGTAAATATTTTTAAAAAAGTTCACTTAAATTGGTTATTGCAGTTTTCAGCAGCACTTCACTGAATTTGATACTGTGCTAGGCAGAGGATAAGGCCCGAAAGCTCCGGAACCCTCAAGTTATAATATAACGTAATTGATACTAATATACTATAAAGACAGAAGTGTATTGACTGACAGCGATAATCTCTTAATCTACAGGACCAATACCGATGAAACGTTTGTGCTAACTTCCTTTAAAGGTCTGAAGTAGTAAAGGCTATGATTTCCAATCACAAGCCTGAATATATTTTACAAAATACTTTTCTGGACTTTTCACCTAGCATTAAATCACAGATTCAAGAGTGTATCAATGTGTCTGAGACCACTAAGATCTACGATTGAGTTCGTCAATGCACAGACTTGGGCGTCATAGGAAAGACCGAAGTGGTCATTATATATTATAACTTACTAGGAGATGACTGTTTGTTGATTTTTACTTTCAATTGTGTAATCTGGAATGTCCATATTTAAGAAAGTTAGTGACAGTTTTTCTTTTAATCTCTAAATGCAAGTAACTTAGATATTGATTTGAATTGCGTCTAGGCGTGCATGTATTAAATGTAGAAGAGAGATGAAATTATTGAAAAAAAAGAAAATAATTTTGGCTGGGGAATGTGCTTGCCGTTGTCAAAAAAGGTATGAATTCACACATGTGTTCTGCATGAAATAGTTACTGGGTTAGAGATAGTAAATTAAGCATGATTATTACGTATTTGCATTTTGAACGAACGTAAGCGACACATATTATGAATCATTCACGTGTTATGCTGAAGCTGTGACAAAGGGATATATTTTTGTAGGGAAGTGATTTATTATAGTGGAGAGTTAAATCGTACCTTTGGATGCTTAAGAAATGATTATGTAAATTCAGAGGAGGAGGAGAAGAAGAAGAAGAAGAAAGTAAAAGAGAAATTTCAACATTTTCTTTATAAATACGCGATAATAAAATATATGAAAAAAAATTAAAATTTGGCATTACTGGTACAATACATAATTTTCTCAAAAAGAAAATACGTGAGTAAATGTAGTTTTAATTTTTTGTTTAGATTTGTTTGTTAATGGTAGTTATAAAGTGATTGAAGTTAGAGGTCGAGAACACCAATAACAAAAGCTATAAATGTTTCTTTTAGCGAGAAAGTCAGGAACACAGGGTATTTCCAGATGAGAGCAAGGAAGAGACGGCAAGAGCAGAGACAGACGGACGAGTAGGCTCCGCGGCAGGACGGAAATGGATGGGATTCATTTTCCTGGCTAATAAATTATGATAAATACCCCAGTAACGTGGGGTACTGTTGAAAGTATTTCGATGAAGTCTGTGCTGCTATAACATTCTTCGTTCATAATAGTGTAATATATCATTGTAACGAATAAATGTCCAGATAATGCTGGTTAGTTAAGCTACTATCCAAAACAAATGATTTGGCATACATAAATAAAAACTGTATTTAAGATTTGATACTTTCTGAAAAGACATGTCCATAAAATTAGCATTTCACGTTTTTAATCTAGATTTATATTCATACTTTCTACACTTGACCTGCATATTATGTGAAAGTATTGTGAAGTATCTACATAAATTAATTTCTGTTAAATATTTCACTTTCCCTACAAGTTTCAAATGTTTTCTATTATATTCTTGTGTGGCCCCTGGCCATACAAGAAATCCGACATTATTTTCGTTTAATGATTTTATTGAAATTTTGCGTTTGCTTCTGATCTATCTCCGTTCAGTTTTTCCACAAGTCTAATAATATGAATTCTCCATCTGTTCGGGCACAGTGGCGGGTGCTGACCAGTGGCTGAATTGCACAGCGCGCGATCTGGCGGGTGAATGGTGCACTTTCCGTTTCGTGGTGGACCGGCCCCGCAATCTGCTCTTCACGGACATCCACTCCATGCGCTGCACGGGACACCCCGGAGGTGAGGGTATAGGATCTATTGTTGTTGTTGTTGTTGTTATTATTATTATTATTATTATTATGATTTACATTATTAAAAGTATCTACTGGTCGGTATGTCAACCACACACAGGAATGATGACCAGGTGTGTGGTTGCTTTACTGAAGGTTCAGATGGCTTCTGACAATACAGCATGTATTCAAAATTACAGATTTTTGCATATTATATACATTCCTTGCATCCAAGTGAAGACACTCCAGTGCCCGAAGTGTCATTTTCGAGATCACTCCTGTAGCTGATATTATTATAGGCAAAGTTGTCGCAACTCAGTGAAACTTCAGTAAAGTGACTTCATGGGCGAGATCGGTATACTTCTGGATCTTCTCTTGATATTTTCCCGATATTTTGTGGGTATTGGGTATTGCTATATCGATGAGGAAACCCTACTGATGGTTTCTATCAATGTGCGTTATATCGGGTCTATTGCCGCCGACATGTCTGTCAGTGATAATTGAGCGATCCCAGTAGAGTGTGTGCTCACTACTTTCAAGCACATTCTGAGGCACATATTTATAATATGGCACGGAAGTGGCGAGTAAGCCCGTTCTCAATGCGAAGAATTGGTGGCCCTGCTTCGCCACTTCATCATGCTTCTTTTTTTATTCCAATTATTATTATTATTATTATTATTATTATTATTATTATTATTATTATTATTACTTTGTCGTATACTTCGCCTTGTCGACCTAAAATCTGAACACACCTCGTGGGGATGTCGGGCTAGGAATCCCGCTGGTAAATATTTATACAACTTAAAAAGTAACCTGAACCTTAACATATTATCACCAACCAAACCCACTTATTTCCCATATGATCCAAACAAAAGTCCTGACATACAAGTAGTTGACATATCAGTCACAAATATTCAAACAATTCATATCTACAACGTAGCATGAACTGGAATCAGACGACTTACAAGTAACAATATCAACACGCGTAGAAAAGCCTCCCCAACTTCCCCACCCACCTTAAATACTTATAACAATGATTGAAAGTTCTTTATGGGTTCTATTAATAAATTCATACCTTCATTTCACAACCTGAACTGTCCCCAAGAAATTAACCAAGCCATCATGACGCTCAACAAAATAATAGTTAGTAATATTAACAACAGTCCTATTGAAAAAAATCTTAGATGTTAACAAAATACCACCACTCCCAACTAATATAATTAATTTAATCCGAGTGTAAAAAATAAAACAAGACTTCGGAATTCCTTAAGAATTCCTTCTTTAAAAAAGAATTAGATCTGTTAAATATAAATAATATTAGTAAAAAGGTTGTCAACAGATATAAACAAGAACAATACAATTTCTATATCAATACCTTAAATACTAAAAACAACTCACTATTGCAGTTTACTAAGAAACTCTTAAAAAACAAGTATTCCCCATTAGCTACAAGTGATAGTAAAAAATACTTCCCAATGGAAAACGCTGAAGTACTGGCCTCCCACTTTGTTGACACTTTCACCTCCAATAACTCCCAAAAAGATCCCAAACGCGACGAAATTTTGACAATATTCAATCCTCCTCTATATGATGTCCCCCCCCCCAAATACAATTTATATCCCCTTAAAAAATAAGAAAAATAATAAAGGATATGCCAAATAAAAAAGCACCAGGCCACGATAGGATGAACACAATCATTTAAAAAATCTATCGGAGAATGCCATTGCTTTTCTAAATAATGTTTACAATTCTATATTGATAGCAAGATATTTTCCACAATCATGGAACACTCCGTCATTTACTCAATAGCAAAACCAAACAAGAATAACTCAAAAGTAGAAAATTATTGACCTATCAGTCTCCTACCTATAATGTCAAAAATCTTAGCGAAATTAATACTCATCAGATTGACCAATCATATCAAGAAAACAAATAGTATACCACAGCATCAGATTGTCTTCACGTCACAATACTCTACCACGCACCAACTACTAAGGCTTACGGAACACATTCACTCTATATTCCAAAGGGTACATCATACCATCACTGCATTTGTAGATATATCGCAAGCATTCGAGAGAATATGGCATCCAGATCTCTATTTTAAATCAATTTCAATAGGTACACTCAAATATCTAGTATTTGTTATCCTTAGTTACATAACAAATAGCACATTGTCAGTATCAGTCTTATGCCACTGCTATCCAAGGAACACCGCACTTCAGCACAAATAAACACCGCTCAATATGCCGATGACACTGCACTATATATCTCAAGGAGCTCTTTAACAACTCATCAAACACAGCTTCAAAATCACTTAAATGTACTTACAAATTGGGCTAATATATGGAAAATAAAGTTGAACCCAACAAAATCTGTGGTAAAAATATTCACATTAAAACCATTCACACACCCTATTTCATTCTTTATAAATTATGACATCATCAATTAGGAACCAATTAATAAAACAATAAAACATTTGTACTTATACTTCGATACTCGATTCAACTGGAAGCAACATATTGAGGTAAAAACTCAGCAAGCCAAAACTGAACTATTCAAATACGATCCTTACTGAATCAAGACAGTCAACTCTCCAAATGTAATGCTTTTACTTTACAAAACAATGATCCGGCCGACACTACTATATGCTTGTCCCATCTGGACCAATGCTGCCAATAACAACCTAAACAAAATGCAAGTTATCCAAAATAAATGCTTAAAATTAATTACAAAATCACCATGCAGTAACAACCAACAAAGTACAGCAGTAACAACCAACTGCATAATGATTTACTCGTAAATATAAACACAATAAAAAACCAAAAAGCCTACATGGAACACACTTTTTACACTAACCTTCCGCGAATTCAAGCATCATCCTTCTATAAACTAGTCAATAACACCAATTATCAAACGAGAATTAATAACAGATACCCTCTGCATTCATTTTATAAAATGTTCGGAAACCTGGAATAATACTTATCTGAGGTGCTTCCTGCTTCCTCTCTTACCATTTTTTAAATATTATTTTTATATAATTGTAATATGTATACTTTTAAGTTAGTGTAATTTAGTTCAAGATAGATTAAGACCATCAAACATTTGCACAGTTAATACGTAAACTGAACAATGTAATGTCGAACAAAAAATCAAATTACATTAAAAATATACGTCACCTCGTATACGTACGTATACGTCTCGTTATACGCAGTAACATACGTAGTATAGAGAAAGTGATGTAATGCTACGGAAAATTGATTATGAAATTCAATGGAAATGCACGTTAAGTTAGAACAGACATCCCAGAGCTCAAGAAACCATGTCCATAGTACGTCACACAGTTTTTAACTTTTTTGCCGTTTAAGAAATAAACCTGCAAATTCTCCTGCAGAAACTGAACATGGAAGCCTCGATTCGCGAAAATAGCAATTTTAAAAGCCGTAGATTATATCTGTAAGAAAGTGGCGGAGACAGAATTTTTCCATTATAATATTTCATGACAACAATATGTTTTCAGGATGTTGTAACAACAGTATGCTAATTACAATAGTATGTATTACAATAACAGTATGTTAATTGTAATGTGTGTTTGGTTTGGGCATGCAAAATTAAAACGCACAGAGCAGTCTTCAAGCAAATTCCGGTTCGTTTCATTACTGCAATTTATTATTAATATTCTTATCCAATAAGGAATGACGCGTTTCGCGCAACACGTTTTCGGCGAAACGGCCTTTCCGGCAGTGGAATAACGCCGCTCGAGCAGAGCAAATGAACACGTTTCGGTCACAATTTACATCACATTAGCTACGGACAAGTCGATGCATAAAAATGTAACATTTTGTAAACATGCTCTCAAGGTGTCACTCTCCTGTAAGTTTGAACGTTTCATCTGTGAATAGCAACAAGAGAATCAACATTTTAAAAAATTCTGGTTGACCCCGAGCGGTTACATCATAAAGCGGACACCTCCTGCAAGAAAGAAAGAACTGTAGAAAAGTAGCAACAAAAAAGTACTAAAAATACACCAGACACGGAATATTGTTTCATGTCGTTCAGTAGTTATTTTCCAAGACTAATGAATTGAGCGGTTTACATATTCTGAAACAATATAACTAATATTCAGTGTGAATATAGATTTACATAAAAATGTCTTAATTTATCAAGAACGGTACTACATGCATGGTGTGGAATATAACAGAAAATTCTAGTTTCCAATGAAACTTCAAAACATAATTGTATGATACACGCTGACTTGCCATGTAGGGTGTGAATGGGCATTTTAAAAACATTATTACGCTTTTTCTAGGGATATTTCTCCCCAAAACAATGTACATTCTGCAGTGTACCGACAAATCTCGATTGTATTTGCCAGTTATACGAAAAAATAAAGGTCGGTGATTACCACACCATACGCTAATGACGTTCTCATGGAAACCATAAGTAACTGTCTTTAAAGAGAAACAATGCATAGAACGTCAAAAAATAATAAATTATTAGAATATCAAAAGCAAAGAATCTTAAAACATCACGATACAAAAAACTCAGTAATTATTAAAACCTTAATTTACTAATACTAACCTATTCTATTCTACCTATCTAAACAGAATTAAATTTTAATTATCTTATCATAACAATTAACATAATGTAAAACATCAGAATTTCGACTCTGATGTTTTATGAATTTCGAATCTTTTTTTGTGGATTAAGTTTGTTCCTCGGAAACGGGGCTGTTACACCGTTATTTCATGACGAGACACAAATTCAAAGTCATGTGAGAAAAAGAAAGAGATTTTTTTGAGTGTTGTTTCAATTTTAGAATTACATTTTGAGTAAAACCACTAGACTTCGAGCTAAGTTCCCCAAGTGACTCTTGCATCGAAAATACTAGGCTAGTTTGTAGAAAACCACTGCAACTCAAAAAGTCCTAGTACTTTCCAAAATAACCCAAAAATCCAACTTAAGAAATTCCATTTTAATAAATTAAAGAACAAATTATTAAAGTAACTAAT